TGGGGCCTTGGGGTACACTGCTAGGCACCACAACTCCCTTGTGCTTGTCGCCTGAACTTTGCATAACCCCAAGCTCGGCAAGATCAGAGAGACTAGGCGTATCGTATGTACTATGGACTATCGATGTAGATGATTGTTGTTTTGGCTCGCCGCTTGAGCTTTGGGCGCCTGGGGCATTCTTGCCTTTTCCATACGGAGTTTCTTTGACCTGAACAACTACAGGCGACCGCAAGGGATCAGACTTTGGAGCCTTCCCGATTGCCGATGTCTCTGTTCTGTGTCGTGTAAGATCTTCGCCCAAGGCTTGTGGAACGGATTCTTCCATGTTCATCTCATCGTCAGAATCTGCGGGTGCAGCTGGAACGGGTGGCGAAGATGATGGACCAGTTGGCTCGTCGTCATCTGAAATCTCGACGAGAGAACGATTTTGTGACTGCTTGCTGGTGGGCATTGGCTGTGACGCAGAATCATGTTCTAAATGAGATGCGGGCTTCTCGATGCTTGAGTCAGGAGGAAGTTCTTGATGGACTCTTGCTGGACGTGGTGGAGGCTCCGGGGACGTGTCCCAGGTCATCTCGCTATCGGCATCACTGTCGTCTTGAGTAGTCACGGGCTCATCATCTTTTGTCCTCGCAGATCTATCGTTTTTGGTAAAGGCAGGTTCATCATCTTGCGTCTTTTGGGGCAGAGACTCGGGCGATGGATCGACAGTCTCTGCAGACGGATCTGGGTCCGATTCATCGTCAGTTTCAGCGCCAGCTCTCTCGTCAGCCATCCGATGACAAGCCATGAGTATTGATTGCGGCATGTTTCCAGCCTGGAAAGGCTGAACCCCGGGTTGAGGTTTTAGCCAACTGGTTTCCCTGCCCAGACAGTGCTGTTGGATTTTCGGTACCTTTAGCGTCTCGCTATTGAAGATCAAATCTGCCATCCAAGAGCACGGAGGCATTGTGTCATTGTTATCCTCGATCAGGCTTTGCTCAGTGGTTTGATCCTCGGTTCGAACGTCTTCGGCAGCTTTTGCAGGTTCGGGCGATACCTCGTGGACCCTTTTGACCCTCTTTCTCCCATGGTTGGACACAGACGATGCGGGACCTTCGTTCCCAGCTTCTGGTACGAACATTGACTGTCGTTGCAATGCATCTGGCGGTGGTTCGAGAGATTCATCTGCAGTTGGCGTATCGTCACTTTGCTGCTTACCGAAAGCTGACTGTACGAAACCGTTCGCAGAGGGCGCCCCGGGTTTGCGGGCGTTTGGATTGGATAATTTGCCGAGAAGACCTAGCAGTGACTGTTGTTTCTCGTAGTCGGTGTTAGCAGCACCTGGCCGTATCTCTTTTCGCTGGGTGTTACCGCCTAGGACTGGCTCGAGCCGGTTCACTCCTATGACCTGTGGCTCCTCGTTGCCTGCATGAGGACGGGATGGGAGAGGCAGTTGTGTTCCAAATGGCAGCTGAGTGCCCATCGTCTGTGATTGGAGCTCGTTGCCATGCGGCATGTTCCCATCTGAGCCCATGTTATCCGCCGTAGCGTCGTTAAGTGCTTCTACGTCCGTTTCCTCAGCACCAGATGCCAAGCATCGGCGGTCCTCTTGCTCGCGGATATGGCGCAGCTGCTCTAGCAAAACACCAGTCTGATCGCAAGCATGCAGTGGCCTCAGAATCTCTCGCGTCAGATTCCGTACCCGTTCGCGGTTATCGCCCAGCCAATCGATCCGATCTAGTATCAAGCGCAGTCTTTCGCTCGGCGGGCCGTACGGGGTGAGGCGGATAGTGAAAGTGCGGACGGCTACTGCGGTGCCGATGGACAGGTGCGATAGCGCGGGGAATGCCTGCAGGAAGTTCCGAGCGCAGTCAGGCGTGAATTGGGAGAGGATCTGGACTTGGCCGTCGGTAAGTGTAAGAGGCGCGACCTGGTAGAAGTGATGTTAGATGTAGCAGCGGCGATGGGCGCAGTATCACCTGCCTTGAGTACCAGCAGTGCGCTGTTGCGGTCAGAGTGGACGTAGTTGATGATATCCAGAGACGAGCCGTTATCGTGGTACACGTCCCACTGCCTGTGCAATTGGGCTTTAACACCAGACCGCTTCTTCTCAAATGTGTCCTGGAGCCACTGGTTGCCTAGCAGCAGCTGGGACTCGAACGTTTCTTCAAGCCAGGCGCTGAGGCGGAGGGCCATGCAATGGGATGTCGCGGCGCCAGTGGGAGACGCGACGCGTTCTGGTCCCGGCGAGATGTGCGGGGAGGAGGAACAACAAGCCGTGTGGGGACTCGTGAAGAGAACATAATAGAGTCCTGTCCAACTGAGAATAGCAGCTGATGCTTCACTCGTCCAGCCAGGCGCGTTTGATCTTGGACCACCATTCACGGCGGCTGCATCTCGTGGCTGGAGGGCATGAATTCATGCCGAGGGACGTGGGGGCGGAACAGCGAGCGGAATTCCTTGGCGGCTGCGCGTCATGGCCCGCCGCGTTTCCTGCATGCCTAGCTAGCTGTATGCACCTCGTGATGCTCCAGGTGCCAGTGCCGTCGTAGCTGACTACTGTCGGCGCCTGGAATCTTCTTCCTCATTCCCATGAATCCGAAGCAACACACGTGTAACGAATCATCCGCCATCCTCGACTCCACCTCGCTGTCCGCCAGACTACCTAGGCATGATCCCACCTGAAGCCTGATGCTGTTCACCACAGGCCACTGTCGGACGCCGATCCGTCTGGACACACTCGATATTTCCTACTGCACCCGCAGACTGCAATTCTTTTGACGGCAGCCATGTCCAGAGACTCGCGGCGGGGCTCGCTGCAGCCGCCTTCGCTCTACCAAATGCATGCCCAGGCATCACGCTCCGACACGCTCACCACCTTCGACGACTTCACCGTGCCACCGGCCCCGAGCTCAGTTGGTGAGCCCAAGGGCATAGACTTGGTACAGGGTGGCTTCAGTGGGCTGTACAGTCGCCTGCGAGCTTCTGTAGGAGGCGTCAGAGAACAGTCACAAGATGGCAGGAGCGGGACTTCGCCGGCCTCCAAGTCAGCGGCTGTCACTCGAAGCCCAGGGAGGACTTCCGTGTCTTCACCCGTTGTCACCTCTAGGCCGTCGTCGCGCATGCAATCTCCAGCAACAGCCAACTTCCCTGACGCCCTGCCTCCCTCCCGCGACTCCAACATATCTAGTACTACGCTCTCCAGTAAGACGTCCATGAATGCGTCCAAGGCTTCCCTCGGTACTGCGCGGTCCCGGAACTCAATGACCCCGAGCGTCGACACAGGGCATACAGCAAAACACGACGAATCCTCGATTCTGAGCCCTATGGGCCCACACTCTAGGAGCCAAAGCACCTCCACCGTCGACTTACCAAGAAGCAACACGCCTAGAGATCCTGCGCTAGGAGCCCAAAGGCTAGATTCCCCGCGCTTCGCTCCAAACCGGGACAACGTTACTAGGAGACAGAAGGGCGACTTTGACCTGGCAGGTCAGGAAAGTGACGATACCGATGACGATGATATGGTGCTCGTGAAAGGCGAAGGTCAAGCGGGTGATAGCGCCACTTTCAAGGCCGGGTCAGACACCCCGCGCGAAAGTCTGAGCAGGGTCAGCTCCCGCGCCGACAGCCAGTATCAACCCACCCGCTCTGCGCCTAACAAGCCAAGGGAACAACCTGAGAAGTCCCCGGAGAGGATTCAACTCGGTCGCAACAACACCGCTAGCTCCCAAACTACCATACACGCACCGGAGCCGCAGCGTCCCCCCATGCTCCATGTCGGTCCTTCACACCTCCCAGGCTACCGGCCTTCTAGGGCCTCTTCTTCTGACGGGTTGAGTTCTATTATCACAACTTCCACGATACGCACTCCTGCTGTTGCTCCTATCGAAGAGATTCAGCGACAAGCCCAGGCTGCGCCTGCGGTACACAACATGTCAAGAAGCACTTTCACTCAAATGCGAAGAAAGATCCTAGACCGCGAGTTCTGGATGCGAGACGAAAATGCTAAAGCTTGTTTCAGCTGCGGTGATGCTTTCACTACTTTCAGACGTAAGCATCACTGCCGTACATGTGGGCAAATCTTCGATTCCAAGTGCACGTCTATTGTGTCAGGTAAGATATTTGGACAGCAAAGCAACCTGAAGGTATGCAAACCATGTGAGGGTATCATATACGGCCATGACGATGACTCTTCCGACTACACTGATGATGGCGACCAAGCCTCTCTTTGCGACAACGGGGACAGGACTCAGTACTCGGACGACGACGAGGCTGATCATGTTGAGAGTGATCATACAAAGATCGGAACACCGACCATCAGCATCCCCATGTCTCGGAAGGTGGGCAGTGAAAAGAAACGCCGGTCACATGTCATAGAACTTGGTCCTCAAACTTTGACTCGTCCGAGCTCTTCGCGATCTCTGCGGTCTCTGGGCGGGAGACCCCGTTCGTCGAGCCACAAACGACACCCTTCCAAACACCAACACATGCGCAATGTCAAGCATGACGATCGCGCGCCCTTCCATCAGTATCACGATAACTCACGCAGTCAACCAAGCCTGTCGGCCTTCCACCACGATAACATAATCGACCCAGATCTTGCTCCCTTCATGTCGGACGAGGGCTCGAGCGAAGAAGATCACGCCAGCATCTTCGCGACGCTGAGAGAAGATCCTGCGGCTGGCGCGAATTTGGATCATGAAAGAGGTGGTTTAGGTGGTCTGTTGGCAGCCATGAGAAAAGGAAAGTCAAGGGCTGGTGATAGGAGTGTCATAGGCGCGGGCCATGCTCGAGATGCAGATAATATTAGCATCACAAGTCGCAACGGAAATCGACCATCTCGACGAAGGAATCTGAGCGTAAGCAGCATAACTCACCGAGCCTCCCCAAGGCGATCGAAAAGCAACACCCTGCTAAGACCTTATACCGGCTACGGCGGTAGCGGACCGGGAACACCACAACTCCAGCCGTCTCCTTCACCAACACCACCCGGAGGGAGAATCACCCGTAGCGCATCAATGCAGGGTATGACACCCAAGGTCGAACTCAACAAGGCCAGTCTAGATCATGCACGAAAGCTCCTGATACAGATGTTGAACGACGCTGGAGTACCGCACGCGTCCAGTTGGGAAAAGGCCTTGATCCCGATCTTACGACAGTGTACAGATGACGTCAATCCTGATGTAGATAGAGGAGATGACATCGACGTGAGGAACTACATCAAGTTGAAAAAGATCCCGGGTGGTAAGCCAAAGGACACCGCATACGTATCGGGAGTGGTATTTACCAAGAACGTTGCCCTGCGGAGTATGCCGCGCAATATACCCAACCCAAGAATCGCCATCATCACTTTCGCTATTGAGTATGCGCGACACCAAACACACTTCATGAGCCTTGAGCCCGTCATCGCTCAGGAGCGGGAATACCTTCGTAACCTCGTAAGTCGTATCGCAGCTCTCCAACCTCACGTCCTGCTCGTACAACGTAATGTGTCTGGCTTGGCACTCGAATTCCTGGAGAAAGAGGGAATTGCCGTAGTCTACAACGTCAAGCCTACAGTACTGAACGCTGTCGCGCGATGCACAAATTCGAAAATGATCTCATCCGTCGACAAGTTGGCCATAGACCCAACCCATCTTGGGTCTTGCGGCAGGTTTGATGTCAAGACCTACGTGCACAAGAATGCAAGGAAAACCTACATCTTTCTGTCTGGGTGCCAGAAAGAACTAGGCTGCACAATTGTTCTACGAGGTGCCGAGAGTCATAACCTGGTCAGGCTGAAACGCGTTACTGAGTTCATGACGTATGTCGTGTACAATCTTCGGCTCGAGACTTGCCTGATGCGCGACGAATTCATAGATACACCAACAGCATCCATTACTGGTACTCTCGCCTTGGACCGCCAAGATCAAGACGGCTCACGAACTCAAAGCGGTGGAGACGATACCGCTTCTCAGCCTACTAACGCGTTGCATGATGGGAACGACCTGCGATCTAGCGATGCTGCACCCTCTTACTATAGCGACATGGTCGAAAACCACCGAACAAAGATCCTTTCTTCTTCGCCATTCGTCAAATTCATGCAACCTTATCTGCTCGAACAGGCCCGCCAGTACGAAGCAAAGCTTGGCCATCTGAAGAAGCTAAAGAACCAGTACACTGCTGATGAAAGTGACGAAAAGCCCGGTGAAATTGGCCAGAAGTTCGAACTCGTACAGCCCGAGATGGTCCACACCGTGGTGGAGAAGGCTTCAAAGCAAGTTCGGGAATTCTTATCTGCAGTGCATGCATCAGAATACGACAAGGCATTGAATCAGTACCTGACACAGAAGCGACAGTGGGAGCAGTATCTCTCGGGTAACACGGATCTTTACGACCCGTTCAACCACCAGAAGATTGCCGTACTCTACAGTGTTGTCAATACTGTAACCTCAACTCCCTGCATTGGACCAGAAATCATCGCGCTTGGCTTTTACCAAGAACATGATTACGACGATGGCTTCACGCCAGACTGCACATTGGGCCAATACGTGGAGGACTTGTGCACTTCAGCCAGTGTTGCTTGTGAAGTGGGCAATTGCGACCGGAGAATGCTCGATCACTCTCGGCAATACGTGCATGGAGAAGGTCAGATGACGGTCATTGTCCAGAAGCACCCACCGAAGCTGAAAGGCATGTATCAAACCATTCTCATGTGGAGCTGTTGCCGAATATGTGGCCAGGAAACGCAAGCTTTTCCCATGTCGGAGTGGAGTTGGAGATACTCTTTCGCCAAATACCTAGAGTTGACTTTCTGGAGTACTAAACTGCATCCACGAGCGGGTATATGTCCCCATGACATTCACAAGGACCACGTTCGCTACTTCGGCTACAGCAATGTTGCTCTACGTATCCAGTATGACCCCGTACCGATGTACGAGGTCATCGCTCCCAAGCCGAATGTGACCTGGAAAGTGGATAGCGACCTAAGGTTGAAGAATAGCCAATATTCGATGATCGAGGAGAAGTTGGACTGCTTCATGGACTCGCTTCGCGCTCGTATCCAGGGGATACATGTCGAAGATGTCATTCCAGAGAAGGTGGATGTTTGCCGCAAGGAAGTTGAGATACTTTCAAAACGCGCGAACGAGGAACACGAGTGGCTGAAATCCAAACTCCAAGACAAGTACATGAACTCCAAATACTACGAGATCATCCCCATGAATCGCGCCATTCGCGCCATTCAGGAAAAGGCAATCGCCTGGGATGTGACTTTTCTGGAGTTTGAGCAGCAGTTCTTCCCGTCCGAGCGAGATATTAGGAGGTATGCGAACATGCAACTGAAGAGATTCTTGGAGCGGGATGAGTCTACGAGCTCTTTGGCATCTGTGGACGAGGGCGGGGAATCAGGTGCGGACGATTCGTACATCGATGAGAAGGATGAGTCGATTGCGTTATCGCCGAGGCCATCTAATCTGTCACCAGAAATGGCCCGCGACATGTTGAGCTCCGTTGTCAAAGAAGAGAGTTCGACTAGCGATCAGCCTGCGGATGGGGGAGAACAGACGTCTGGACCCACCACGCCCCCTCTGACCAAGCCTAGTTCAGATTTGCCAATCCAGACCCCGCGGGAGGCACTTGAGCGAGAAGACGTCCGTCACCTGGATCTTGCAGTGCCCTCCAACTATCCTGAGACACCTGCAGTCGGCAATGAAGAACTCACCAAGACACCAACTGTTGCTTCTGATCCTAACAAGTACGACGAAGGGTCGCCTACACCTACCAGTCTTCCGAGGGTAAATCCGATTGATAAGTCGCTTGCTGAAGCGATTGAGAACATGCCGAGTAGCCCATCACCATTACCGTCAGCTTCGAACATCACAGCTGAAAGCAAAATTCCGCGGCTGGTCGAGCCCGGTCGACGTGAGACACCGGCCCGGCCAACAGCACTTGTGAGAACACAATCTCAGCCTGGAAATATTGCTAAACACATCGGCCCTTTCCCAGGCTCATCTGTCTCCAACAATGGGCCCACTAGTCCGAAGCCGAACTCCAACGACTCTACAAAGGCTTTTGAGCGTATGACAGAGCGACTTGGGCTAGGGCTGTCTACCCCAAAGCAATCCAAGTCCTCATCTCGCATACCCCGATCTATACCTTACAAGAGCCAAAACAAGGTATCGAAGATTGCGCAGCATTTCGAACAGCTGTCACGAGAATTTCAGAACCAGCGTATGCGTGAGAGACGTAATGATCGAGCTAGGCAAGTGCGCGCGTTCCCACTTGCCTCCTCTAAACCGGTGGTCGAGGTGTACAAGAATGTTCATGACGCTGTACAAGAGAATGAGGATTCTGATGAAGATCTGCGTACTCCAACTCCTCCTCGGGCGAGTCTAGACAACAGTACACTTGGCGACAGCACCTTTACAGAGCACACAGGTGACACAACAGCATCTCAGTCACCGGTTGAGAGGCGACACCCTCATGATGAAATGGCCCAACTTCCCAGCTGCGATGAGTCACCCAAATCTCCAAGCCACTTTCCATCAGATCCCGAGAACGACATCAGTGATACGGAGACGACGCCAGAAGATATTCCTCTACCGGAGAGCCTCGCGGGCTCTCAACTTCTGAGTCTAAGTGACTCGCAGCTGGAAAACTCTCTTGAGCTCCCCAAACACGAGAAGAACACATTACTCAAGATTCTTACCAGTTTCTGGTCCGAGCGATCAGCAAGTGGATGGACACCGCTTGAGTATCCATTCTCACAGATCGAGCACGTCTGGGAGAACTCGGATATCATCATCCGGGAAGACGAACCCAGTTCCATTATTGCATTGGCGCTGTCGTGTCCAGATTATGTTGCCAAACGACAAACCTTCCGCGATTTTACTTCAAGTGATGGCGTTATGGAAACGTTTGAAGAGTCAGTCGAACGAAATCTGCTGCATGAAGAAAACCACAACATCCGCTACAGTTTCACCAATCGTGGGGTAAAGGCGCACTGCAAGATTTTCTACGCCCAATCTTTCGACGCACTCCGCCGCAAATGCGGTGTGGCAGAACGCTTCGTGGAGTCCCTCTCCCGCTGTTCGAAATGGGATTCCAAGGGCGGGAAGTCCAAGTCAATCTTTTTGAAGACCCTCGACGACCGTTTTGTCCTGAAGTCACTCTCTCCAGTCGAAGTTCAAGCATTCTTCAAGTTCGGCCCCAACTACTTTGCCTTTACGCACCAGAATCTCTTCAAATCGCTACCCAGCGTCATCGCTAAGATGTTTGGCCTTTTCCAAGTCCAGATCAAGACACCCACCGGTCGTGACTTTGACTGGTACATGCTTGTTATGGAGAACCTATTCTACGATCGCGAACCGAATCGCCGCTACGATCTCAAGGGCAGTATGCGCAATCGCAAGATCCAAGCCACTGGCGAACGAGATGAAGTTCTTCTAGACGAGAATCTTGTTGACATCATCTACTCTGAGACACCGATCTTCGTCCGTGAGCACACCAAGAAGTTGCTCAAAGCAAGTGTGTTCAACGATACGCTTTTCCTATCACAGAACAACGTTATGGACTACTCTCTCATGGCAGGCTTTGACGACACACAACGCGAGATCATCGTAGGCATTATCGACTGCATTCGCACCTACACCTGGGACAAGAAGCTAGAGAGTTGGATCAAGGATCGCGGCAAGAACAAGCCTACCATCACGTCGCCGCGTGATTACAGGAACAGATTCAGGATTGCGATGGAAAAGTATATCCTCCAAGCGCCCAATTGCTGGCACCAATTCAGTGGTAGGCTCGTTGGACAGAGCGTCGATGGACGAAGGGCGCTGGTTGAGGGCAGAAGCAGTATGGAGGCAGGGCACAAGAGGGGCGTCAGCGGTAGTAGTGCGGCAGGATCGAGTACGGTAATGGATATGGGACGCACATTGGCGTATGGTGATGGCCGTAATGCTCGCAGGACATGATTTGTGCTAAATTGATGACCATGATTCTGTTAGGTAGCATAGCGCGGGGGTATGGAATTCCAATCTGAATACGTCTAATGACCAGGCCTAATTTGACCATGCGCGCCCATGCAAAAAGACCGCATGTGCATACCACCAGAACAGCAGACTTTCGCTTCCACTAACTCTTCTTATCCCTCTGATCCCTCAACAACGCTCCAACAACGCCCTCCACACTCCCCATCTCCTCCTTGCTATTCCTCTCCACAACATCAGCCAACCCATTAAATACACCGGCAATCTCCCTAAACACACTCGCCTCACCCGCCGTCCCACCTTCTGTTCGAAAACACTCGCCAATTTGCACCATCTCCTCCACCCACCGATAAGCCTTCCCCGTACACCCCACCACACTCTTTTCCGCCTTCTGTCTCGCACCAGGATTATACACATCAAGATACTCACGCAGCGGATCCAACACACCCAGCGACTCCGCCGACGAGAAAGATTGCAGCGCCAACGCCGTAAAGCCCTTTGACAGCGCCGCAAAACAGCATTTCAGCCCCGACGCTGTCCCGATTTCCCCACCGAGATACCGCGTGTTAAGTATTTCAGCTAGGTGCGCCCCGGAAACGGGTGCGGAGTCCAGAGGATGCGGTCCCGATAGGGGGATACCGGGTCTTGTCCATGCAGTTTGATCTGTCTGTGATGGCGGCGCTGGCGGGCCACCGATGATGCCCCCGTCTACAAACACAACACCCTTCTCATTCTGCTCGAACAATCCTGCTATCCCCCTTGTCCTATCTGGACTAATAGCATTCAAATCCAAATACCACACCGCGCCCTTCCCCTTCTCTCTCCTCTCGCTCTTACACTTCTCTGACTGCAGCGCCGATACCACGCGTTTCGCCGTCGCCACGGCGTCACCAGGCGGCACGATACTCAGTATGTAATCTGCATCTGCGACGAGCTCTTCGTCTGACGCGTAGAGGTGTATGCCAGCGGATTCCGCGCGCGCTTTTGTGGCGGCGCTGCGGCCGCTGATGTTGGTTGTTATGCGGTAGTTGTGCGAGGTGAGGAGTGCGGCGATGCCGAGGCCCATTTGCCCGATTGAGAGGATGGCTACTGTGGCGAGGGGGGTGGACATTTTGGGTGAGGACGTGATGTTGAGATGGGGTGGTTTGGTGTGTCGTGTGACGGTACTGGGATGAGACGATGATGTTGTTGGGGTATCCATGGTGGGGTGGGTGAATGCTGACGGGAGCTCTAACGCGGAGGGGTTAGTGGGGTGTGGGGATGGGAATTTGGTGCCGTTGAGCGCTGACAACGTCGAAGAGCTTGATTATGGAAAGTGCATGTTCATAACACTGGTTTTTTGCTCGAATATGATAACTTCGAATAGGGATGATTGGCATCCTATACCTAGGTATGGTCTCTCTCATAAAATTCTCCACGACTACGCCTTCGCGTTCCAGCACTCAGAACGGCTTCAACGAGTTCAAGCTCTTAGACTCAACTTGATATCCATCAGCCTGGTAACCACTGGTAAAGTAAGATGCCGCCTGTGTGTTTCCCTTCATAGTCCACAGCATCCAGTTAAGGATCGCCTTGCCAAAACGGCCGCCATTAGCATCGCCGAGTGTACCGCCGTGGCCGACGGGAATGTTTCCCTTCCAGGTCGGAACACCAGCAGGCATGTTCTTGTAGTCACGCTCGCCCTAGAATCCTTGTTAGCTCATCTTGCACGCAACAGAATGGAGTAGGTAAGGAGAACTTACGTTTCCGTAAGCGATGTCGCCTGAACCGCCCAATACGAAAAGCACTGGCTTCCTCCAGTTACTGGCCGCAGTGTAGTTTGTCAGCAAACCTGAGCTGATGATTCCGATGGTGTCGACACGGCTGTCCCAGATGTTGTCGATGGCTTCGACGCCACCGCATGAGAAGCCTGCGGCCATGATCTTGCTCGCATCAACGTTGGCATAGTTTCCTTTGCCGGCGTTCTGGGTGACCCAGTCAATGGCCTGTCTCATGGTTTGAGCATTGGAGGTACCGCCGCCGTTGGGACCACCCTCAGCAATAGCCAGGAAACCGTAACTGGCAATGTTCTGCAAGAGAGCCGAGTTCGAGCGGCCGTCGGTGCTGCATGCACCGTTGCCCCAGACGAGCACAGGGAGCTTCTCGGATCCGGTGTTCTTGGTTGGGTAGTAGATCGTGTGGCCTTGGAGAGAGCTTTCGGTCTTGTAAGTGCCCGGAGCATAGGGACCTGCGCCACTGCCTTGCTGAACAGATGTCAGTAGAGTCTTTGGAGTAGGGGTGGTGTTGGTTACCTGTCTGGCTTCTAGGTTGAGCGGTGTTGCGACACTGCTTTCAATGCACAAAGCCGCAACGGCAAGAGTGAATGAGTACTTCATGCTGATGAATGCGAAAGAATCGAGGAAGACGCAGAACGAGCTGATGGAGATGTAGGTAACTGAGTCAATTCCAAGGCATGTTATATACCAAAAAACGTCCTTATTACACTAAAACGTCCCCATTGTACCAAGACGTCCCCATCACACTAAAAAGCCCTTGCATTCGTCCTCCATCACTTCTTGGCTGCCCACCGCACACTCTCGTCTGCAACCATTTTGATTGCGAAGGGATAAAATCATCGCGCCAACCACCAGTAAATGTGGGCTTGACATATTCTATCGGGCCTATTTCGTCGGGGGTGAGGCTCTAGTTGGGCCCTTTGATATAGGTGGATCCGGGGTGAAAAGGTCACACATGCTCTTTCTAGTATGCGATCGTGCGCTAAGTGGGAATTGGTGCTTCAGCTTAATATATCGTGGGTCGACGTTGTCTTGGCCGGTGGTTAAGCTCCCTGGTCAGGTGCCGGATGAGCTCCTCGGGAGTCAAACGCGAGATCGTGCATCGGAAGATAGCATGTAGATTGCGGGGAAGCACATCGCGTATCTTTATTTGCATGCCGGCTGATGCAAACGTGCAAGCATTGTGTTTAGGCGAGGTGGTGTCGAGTATATGTGAACAAACATATACAACTTGGCGTGCTGGTGTTTTGCCATTGCGTCACGGTACTAATGCATGTTAGCAGACCTCCTCAACGCTGATTGACGGTATCAGATGCATCAACATCTAAGAGGCTAAAACTGCGATCACGAATGCGAAGAGGTGGGCAAGTCGTCAATTTTGGCGGCTATGACATCGCCGTCGGTGTCACTCATCACCGCAATGGACTTCCAAGATTTGCACAACTCATCCGTTCTCAACCGCCGCTAAATCGAGGATTTCATCTATATTTTCTGCTGAAACTCGTGCGCTGTGCTGATATTTGTGTGTGCATAGCCTGCCGCCTGTACAACGGCCCACAAAGATGACGAAGTAGATCCATCAGGGTAACCCTCCAAATCTCCGATAGATCTGACCGAGATCTTGGAATACATGAACTAGATATGTTATTCTTGGCGTTCATCAGCTCTCTCCTTAAATGCTTTCACCCCTGTACCCAGTACCATGTCTGTCGAAGGTCTAGTCCACCTCTTTTCATAGTTGCCTTGCCGCGACATGGCTTATTGGTCTGGACACACGACGGCCGCCGCCTGGTTCGCACAATCGTTGCCGCCATGCTGCCAGCATTGACTCTGAACGCCATTGATAGTGAAGAAAGTGCTGTAGAAGCACTGTGCCATGTTCTGTGTCGAGTTCTCGCAACGGTAAAGACAACGTGGGCAGTATCTCGCGTAACTACCGGCTTCTTCCTCACAGATCTCCAAAGGCGTCGTGGGAGTAGGCGTAGGCGTCTGGCTGGTGGTGGTTACAGTCACAAGGGTGCTGGTGGCAGATGATGGTACTGGCTTGCCCAAGTTCCTCTCAATACAGTAAGAGTTATTCGGGATGACTTTGCAGCCATCAGCCAGACTTGGGTTCTGTTTCAGGCGTTAGTATATGCGTAGAGTGTTGTGGCGTTCGTGTCGTACATATTCCGTCAACTGCGCATCTGTGAGTCCCCAGTATGCACCTATACTGGTGCATGTGTCGGTCTCTGCGGCGACATGCCACCATGAGCAGTCTGCGACGGTGTCTGGAGCCGCAGTAGTTGGAGGCTCCTCGAGATACGCTGCGCTGAGCAGTGGTAGCAAGCCAAGACCGATAGTGAGTGGTGATAACATGGTGCAAGTATTTCGCGATGTGATGCAATATCGGCCGTGAAGATGTGAGCAAGAAGAGCGGACGATGGAGTATCTTTATACAATAAGCGCCATGTACCTAGATTTGACGGCGCCAGACCTAGACAGCATGCTGCCTGTGCAGTGCATTAGCCATATACAACATTCCAGGCTTCCATGGGGCCTGATGATCCAGCTCTAGGGCAAACGTCGTGCGAAATCCCGCTTCCCGAGGAATCAAGTAAGAACTTGCCGGACGGGGACGCTGGCAGCCTAGACGGGTGGAGAATTTCGCAGGATCTACGAACCCCTTGGACGCCTGATGACCAGCAACGAATCAGAGACGAGATGGCAGGGCATTTATGTAGCGCAGATTTAGAGCTCGGACTTGCACGGCGACGAGAGTTGTATGTTAGGGTTTACAAGGCGTAAATTCAGTCGGTGTTGATGATGATTCTTACTATACCAGGCCTGGTCTAAGGCGACAGCGCGTTCCGAGGTCCCGTCCGCGGCTTCCTCAAGATTCCAAGCCGCACAACGATGCAGCAACCAAATGTGCAAAGCACGTATTGCAGTCGCAGGTCTCGCAAGAAAAAGCAGCTTGCGAACCATCCATCGCAAAGCTACCATGCACATCATCACACCCTACCCACACCTCCCCGCTTGCCACCACCCCTCCTCCAGACCAACACCCCCGAACTAAAACTTACGAACCAAAACACCGCGCTCAGAAACGCAAACGCCTGAGCCGCATTCCACCTACTGCACATCCCATTCCTAACCATCATCTGATTCCACGCCCAGTTACTACCACAATCCATACCATTCCTATAATAATCCTGCAGCAAGCCAAAGGCAGCGACCCAAGCGCCGCAAAAGATAAGATCGCCGACAAAATTGACGATGTGAGACGTGGTGGGAAAGAGCCAGAGGAGAGATGCGACGACCGATATGCCGGCTATCATGACGCTGTAGATGAGGCGGCCGTGGCAGTCACTGGCGTCCATGTGGCGGATTTGGTGGAGCAGGATGGATGTCAGGACTAGGACTACGGCTGCGCAGACGAATTGCGCGAAGCGGAGGGTGATGGATAGGATGCGGGAGAGGATTATTGTGATGTTGTGTAAATGTAGTGAGTGAGGCTTGCTGACTTGTAGAATGTAGATTGAGGATTGGGATGACGAGTAGATAGTCGGAGTGGTGGAAGTGGAGAAATTTGGCGTCTTGTAGTAGAGATAGATATTTCTTCTTGCTCGCGTCTTGGGGGATATTTGCTTTATATCTTCAAGTATCCATTTGACAAGCAAACGCGCGCGCAGACAATGAAGCTGCTGTACATGGAGGCATTATGAGTTCTTTTTCTAGTGCGGTTGCTTCCCATCACCTGCCTTTAGACCAACGGCCTCTGTTTGCGCGCTTTGCTACGTGACACCGCCAATCAAAGAGGCCTTATGCATCGTACCCATCGAGCTTCTTACTACAACCCATCATAAACCCCCTTCTCGGCCATGAACCATGCCGGGATGACCTTAGGATCTCCATTCGGAAGCACCTGCGAGGCCAGCATACCCGCAACCCCCTTCTCCCTGTCCACCCACCAGAAGCAGTTACACAAGCCCATCCACCACAGCGTATTAGCCCCGCGACCAGACTGACCCGGCTCGATTGTGATGAAACCGCCAAAGCCCCATCCCTGAGGAGGGTTTCCGGGCTGGGGATACATATCTGCTGCTTGGTTGACGAGCAAAGGGTTCGCTGGTGGGACGTTGGCACGTGCAAAGTCGGGCTGGGAGGGGATTTGGTTCTCCCACATGAGGTCGACTGTCTCCTTCTTAAGGATGCGCTTCTGGGTCTGTGGACTCGTTCCGTCGTTCAGTAGAGCAGCGAGGATCTTGACGTATTCGCTTGGTCTTGACCAGAGTCCCGCGCCGCCGGACTGGAGGAATTCTTTTTGACTCTCTTTGGGGCAAGACAGAGGGCC